ACATGCAATAATCTAGGAGGTTACTTGGTTTCGCTAACCACTCATATAAACATAGGAGACGATGACCATGTGTTTATCGGCAGAATAAACTGCTAAATTAGAGCCCAGGGTATTTGAGTTAGTGGGTGGGTGAAGCCTTTTAATTATAATTGTAATTATGCAAATTTAAATCTGTACAACATGAAGCATAGTGATAAATTCTGACAATATGCAGTGTTTCAAAACATAGAAATTCTCGCTCCAAGCAAACTTTTAAAACACTAAGAATCACATACTCCCAGAGCTGAGAAAGTAAAAAAATAACTATATCAATGCTATTGCCACAGTCTTTGCTTGGCTCCCCACCAGTGGCGGAACTGGTCTTGAACTGGCCACTCTCTTTAGGAAGTCATCTCGTACAAGGAGCAGAAATCGCCTTTCTGAATGACACAGACTATAATATCGTAAGCTTGGCCTGCGGTCATTGAGACTTAGGTCAAGGTCAATCTTGTCTTTTGACCTTCATGGAAATATAAACCACCTTTCAACATAAAATAAATGACTTCGTAGACTCCTAAGTACTTTAAATTCTATCTGATCGTCTTGACATAGAACCAGAGTATTAGTGTGAACTAAGTCGTCTCAGTGAATCATCCATTTCTGTCCAACACACCAAGTGCTTCTATAATTACCTGAACTGATTATAGATTCATGTCAGAGAGGTGGGGGGGGGGCGGAGAGGAGTAGAAAGAGAAGCTCTTTTTTTTTTTAAAGAGTTAGAAGTATGGCTAAGTTAAGATCACTTGGCTACTCTTCCTGAGGACCTGGGTTTCGCTCCCAGCACCCACTTGACAGTTCACAAACATCTGGAACTCCAGTTCCAGAGGATCCAGTGCTCTTTGCTGGTCTCTGTGGACACCAGACACACATGTGCTGCCCAGACACCCAGACAGGCAAGACTTATTCAGACATACACAATAACAAAAATAAAATAGAAAAATAATGAGTTGGCATTTTAAGTCTTCCTGCCACCTATGTCCTGAACAATGCCCAACTCAACTCAATTTTAATATATCCCAACTTAGATGCTTCCCACATGGGGGCAAGGAATGTCCCCATTTCTGAATGGCATACCGGCCACACAAAGACTTGACAGAAGACAAATATATTATGCTGTGCAAAGAGAACTGGGGCTCCAAATGTAATGAGAGAGCCCAGGTCAACTGGACCCTGCTGAACTCATGTCCGTTCCCTGAACTCATATTTTTGTTAGATGTGACAAAATAGTAAGGTTGAAGTGTGTGGCAGGCGTGTTACACATCTTCTTGTTAAAGCAACTTACGTTCTAATAGAAATCTCCTAAGGACCACTACAAGTCTTTGGATTCGGAAGAAATTGTTAGATGATTATGCTCAGCTAAGGAATTAAACTACTTTCTCCCCAAATCAAAAGAATCCAGATCCTCAATAATCCAGAGATCCTCAATAATCTCCATAATCTTTTTCCTAAGAAATAGCTTAATCTTTTTCCAGTATAAATCTGAGTAACTTTTGGGAGAAGGACTGGGAGGCAAACAGCCAACAGTTTCAGCTGAGCAAGACATAGTTTTGCAAAGATCTTTAAAGGAACTTAAACTAATTTCTGACAGACATAAAGAAAAAGCAGTGAGTTGAGCAAATCTAGGTCATCTAAAGAAAAAAGGAATTTCCAAAATGTTTCCTTTCTGTCACTAATAAAAATGTACTATGCTTGACTTGTAAAAAGCTATTTCATCCTATGTGGCAACAGCCTACAGTTTGCAATTTGTTAATTTTTCTAGAGATTTTCCTAAGTGTGTTATGCTCAAAATGTGGTTTAGAAAATAAAGTGTGGGTGGAAAAAATTAAAGAATGAGAGAAAGAGCAGATGGAATAAGAGAAGGGATGTGTCCTACAGTGTTTTACTGGGGAGGGTTTATCCAATCAACATAAAAGAGCAATAAAATGAAATATAATTTCCTCAGATGTAGAATTTAGCTTGAAAAGTCATCAAAGAACTTGTCTCAGTGAGGATCATAAAGCAGCAAGCTAATGCATGAATGTTTCAATGTGGCTAAATAAGGTTCCCTATGTACATATTCATTGATGAACTTCAGGGATCCAAGAACCCCAGAAATTTGCCTAGAAACATCTTTGCCTCTGTCCAGACATGCACATCCTTTTGTAGAGCAAGAGTTTCTCATGTTCTCCACATTCTCGCAATATTCTCTAAAGCGTGCTCCACCAGCAGACTAACACTAACAGCTAAGCCCATGACTTACTATTTAATATACTTTCCCCTCTCAGATCCAAAACCAACATGCATGTGTGTGTGTCCAGAAAAAAAAAAAGCTTAGTGTTGCCAGATCTTGGCAAATTCTATTTCTGTTAAGCATAACAATGGTCTCTGCCATAAGAAATTAAAGTAAAAATAAAATTTTTATTTTAAGTATTAAGCATTTTTTAACCACTGGGCAAACTCCATGTTTTGTCACCAAAGAAAATAGAATTTTGTGGTATAGATATATAGAATGTTTATAAAAAGAGAGAGAATATTTTGATTCTTCCATTTTTTCTAGCACTGAACTTAATTGAATTATTTAATTACCAAGTTCTTTACAAATATGGGAAAGCTTACCATCCCAAGCATATTTCTGGTTTTTTAGAGATTATATAACACTGATATATTGACAAATACATTTTCAGGAAATAATTAAAAGGTAATATCCTGAAATCAGTCCATAAAAACTGATCCCTTGTAATTGATTATCCTTTTGGGAAAGTGATTACTAGTTTTCTTGTCTACTTTCCACTAGGACTTAAAACACTGGAACATTCTAGAGGCTCAGTCTAGAACCTCTGCCTCCATGACAACACTGAGTGGATTTCAAAGGGAAGTCACTTGGTCTGTTAGCTTGAGTTGAAGTCACACTGACAGAAACTTTGCTCAAGAGTGAGAATTGAGATTTCCATAAATGATTTTCCTTTCCATATTTGGGGTTAAACCTAGAGTCTTGAGGTATACCACTAGGCTACATCCCCAGATCAGAATCAGTCTAGATCTATCCTTGGAAAAAGAGGCTGCATTTCTCAAGGCACATTAATGTATAAATCCCCCATCTTGTGAGTGTTTTATGACAGCAAATTCTCCCCTAAAAGAAGTGTGCTGTCTGAAGGTCTCCAGTTCATCTTTTCGTTCCCCAAAACCCTTCAAGACCTTGCTTAGTAGTCCCAGCATGCAGCACTGGGAAGCCTCTTCCTTCATAGACATCCTAACAGACTTCTTCAGGCTTCTAGTGTCAGGGTTGGAAGGGGCTCTTGGAAAGCAAAGCCACGGGATATTTCACTGTCCTCTCCTTAGATTTTCAAAAGTAATCCTCAGATCCTACCCATCTTCCAAAAACTAGTGGGACCCAAGGTTCATCTCTCCCCAGTTTTTCTTAGAGAACACAAAGAACTCACAGGTTCTTTTTGCGACATTAATTTTTGTTTTGTTTTGTTTTGGTTTGGTTTGGCTTGGTTTTTGGTTTTTGGTGTTTTTCAAGACAGGGTTTCTCTGCTGTCCTGGAACTAGCTTTTATAGACCAGGCTGGCTGCAAACTCACAGAGATTGGCCTGCCTTTGCCCAGTTTCGCTACATGTTTTTGATGGAGATTTAAAACAATACCTATTCATGTGCAACCAGCATTTTGGACCTTTCCTTTAAAATTCAAACTACAAAAAAAAAATCTATCCTCTGTAACATAGAGTTGATAAGACCCTGTGAGACTGGTGCGCTCAGATTTTAGAAGGAAAACAAGTCATATTAGCCCAATAAAATCTCCTACCAATTGAACAAAAACCAAATCCCAAACCGTTGCTTGTCACTGGGAAGCAGTTTCCTGATACAAGATAAATTGTCAGCAAAAGGACAACCAGAAAACACAGATGCCCAAAGTTTTGATCTTATTTTTGTTTTGTTTTATGTAAATTCATATTTACAGAGGTAGCACAAAATTTCAGTTATGTCTTTTGTAAGAGTACTTTTGGGTACATCAAAGAAGCAGCTCATTTTTATGTTGTTCAGTTTAACCCATGCACTATCAAATTGACCAAAGTACGTTATTCAGTGACATTGATGATACTTAAAATGTCACTATAAAATCAGTTGAATCTGTCGCTCATGATTTCTCTCATGGACATTTGTTTTCAATTTTTCTCTTTAACATGTTAGGTTGAATTACACATACAACGCTTACAGTACAGAAATTGTTATATGAAAATTACAGTGTTTTGTGGCTTGATATAAATAGCTTAAATGCATTGGGAAATACCTTTGAATCCCCCTAATTCAACTGAATGCAGCAGATGTGTAGTGAGTATCATCGTACATGTGGTACTTTGCTCAATAGTGCAGGATGCAATTATGCAGAAACCCATGTATCCAAAATGGTGACCTTTTATGATGCGGGTGTTGCTGGGACCTGCCGGTCAGTCAATCACCTGTGCTTAGAACGCATAGACCCATATTGCAGCCAGTAGAGAATCCGAAAAGGCCCTGCTGACTTTTTTTTTTTAATGAAAATAGCTATTTAAACACTTCTTTGGTAACCAGGAAGTTGGAAATTTCTAACTTCCATTTTTTTACACAGAAAACTGAGCTGTTAGATAGCTAACACACTTCTAACAATCAGAATGTGGCTTCCAATATTTTGACAAACGGCCCAGTCTTTCTCAGTGAGTTACTTCCCTTCTTGGTGTATCAGGTTGTCCAATGTGAAGTGAAATAATATCCCTCTTGTGAGTGATGGGGATTGGGTAGGATCATGTGTACTTTCTGGGGGTGGAAATTCTACTAACGTGTTTTCTACAAATGTCATTCAGTGTTTTATCCTTTCGTATCTCATTACCTCCCCCATGCTCAGTAATTTTAGTTTGTGCTTTTTTTTCTCTTTTTGTTTATTTGGTTTGCTGGCTTTGTGTTCTTTTCTCCTTTTTTCCCTTTCTTTTCCTTTTTTAATGCAGGAATCGGCCAAGGGGTTCCAGTGGTGGCCCTCATAGTGGAAGGAGGACCCAACGTGATCTCGATTGTTTTGGAGTACCTCCGAGACACGCCTCCTGTGCCAGTCGTGGTCTGTGATGGGAGTGGACGGGCGTCTGACATCCTGGCATTTGGGCATAAATATTCAGAAGAAGGCGGGTAGGTGAATTCCCAGGCCCCAGGGTAGAATCTTGAGTACAAAGCTGGTGTCTGAAGTTTGGAAAAAAGGGCATCAGAGCGTGTTCTCTGCAGTTCAGTCAAGTCCTCACATCCTAATCAGCTATGAACAATTATCTAAACATTGACTGTGGGGTGGTAGAGAAGGACAGAGAACAACATCTAAAATGCCTCTGGAGTGGGGAATCCATGAAGGCTACCTTGAGACCACGTGAGGATGGGGAGGAAGGAACTTAAAGGGTGTGTTCTTTTATCTCGGTTTCTCCTTCCCTCTTCTCCTTCTTCAAGGAAGGAGAGGCAGGCAATGGGCTATAAAGCAAACAGAATATGGGTAACAGTGCAGGGTAGCCTCTGAGATAAGCAGAGTCTGGGGCACAAGTCTAAACACCAGAACCATCATGGTCAAGCTGCTGTAAACACATTCGGAAGACTATTATCAAGTACTTCTCTATTTATTATCCTGGAAGGTAAAGCCTCTATAATTGGTTACAGCTCTGGTCCTTTGTGAATTACTCCCAGAACTCCTCAGCCCTATATATTTTGGTTGGACTATCAGCTTTTTAATGCTGTTCTCTAAAGTCTAAAGCTCCAGCTTTTCTGGAAGTCTAGCCACAGTGGCCTAATAAGACACTCTTGCAGGTCATGGAAGTCATTTGAAACAGGGTGTGAATGAGTTTAAGGAACACAGTCAGGGAAAGTCACTTAACTTTTGCTTTTGGTTGATGTTGTTTTGGGGTTTTTGTTTGTTTGTTTGTTTGTGAGAATTTGATATAAAGAGCTATAGACAGACAATCAAAGGCTGCTAAGAGAGGGGGAATCATTCTTCTCTACAGACAAGGTCTCTGATAGGTTACCAAATCCATAGTGGTCAACTCTTAATGCATACACACACACACACACACACACACACACACACATACACACACACACACACACACACACACACACACACACACAAGACATTAAGTCAAACAAAAAACCAAAAACTAATTACCCAATTTTTCAAGCGTAAGGTTAGGGTGACAAACAAGTTCCACAGGAGGTAGGCCTCTTATAAATATAGAGTAACTGTCCAAGGGTACCATGAACTGTGAAAAACATTGAGATATAAAAAAGAACAGCCTGGAGTTGCCACCCTCGAAAACCATAGTAAGGCTAGTGGGTAGACCAGTATGCAACTACAGTAACAAAATTACAGACGAGCTAGCCTGGTGGAGGGGGGGCACTCCCTTTCTACCTCTCTCCTCGCCAGTAAAAAGATTCCATATGTTAGCCACTACCTCCTCTCCTTTCCCTTTCTTCATCCCTGTTTTGGCAGCCACTAAGACAGTATGTTTGCCTGGTTTATACTGAACCCAATATGTGTGAAGTGGAGAAGGTCAGAAGGCTGAGGGCTTCTATGCCACCCCTGAATGCCATGACAGTGACCTGACAATAAAAACTTCCTCATCGAAGTTAAAGCTTAGTCACTGCCAAATTTAATTAAATTGCCATCATCATTCTTCGTTGGGAGTAAGTACTGACCCATCTTCTTACTGAGGACCTAATAAGAGGACATTTGCCCAGTGATCTTTGTATTGACTAACAAAGCAGTGTTTGATAACCTTAACTGTTTTTTAAGTAAATTTTGCCATAGTCCTTATTTCTTTCAATATAGCAGTATGACCCTTTCAACTGAAAACAGCTCTTAGCTCTTGATTGTTTGTTGATCCATTGAGTTTGCTGATTGTTTTTGTCATATGTCCACAAAGCAGATATGGGTTTTCATTTGGAATGCAGGTTTCCTTTTCTTTCCTACAAAACCAAAAGAGAAGGAAGGCGTTCTCCAGCGTCTCTGCTATCTTGGATCATCCAAGTGACAGTCAGAGTCTGGTGCCTATTATTTATTATTTTTTAGGCCGTGTGTCTTGAGCATATTAAAAATTTTCCTGATTGAGCTGGGCAGTGGTGGCACACACGTTTAATCCCAGCACTTGGGAAGCAGAGGCAGATGGATCTCTGTGAGTTCAAGGCCAGCCTGGTCTACAAGAGCTAGTTTCAGGACAGATTCCAAAGCTACAGAAAAACCCTATCTCAAAAAAAAACAAAAAAAGTCTCTGATTATTACTATTTAAAATATGTAAGAAAAAAATGTGAGTTTTAGAATTGGAAGGGGCAGTGGGCAACTTAATCTACTGGACAAGAAGTTAAATGCTTTGTCCATGTCTGCACAGTCTATGAGCTCATCCATCTGGGTTATTAGCAAAATTCACTGAAGTATGTTTCATGATGCATGTTTCTGTCCTACTCGGGAAGGGTCTTGATGACTTCTTTAAACTTTTTTCTTAAGAATATATTTTAATACAATCTTTTCTCATTTTGAAGAGCTATCCCTGTTCCCACTTCCTCCCCTGTTCCTACTTCCTCCACCTTCCCCTACCTCACCTCCCCAGACTCCTTTAAACTTTAGGTGCACAAAAGTTACCCAGTTTTTTCAATAACTTATATTTAATATTATTATTAGCATATGTATTCCTAACATATAAAAATAGTGCAGTCCTGGTTATGATCTTGTGTCCAAGTTTTGATTCCTTTCTCATCCTCACCTAGACCATCATCCACCCATCCCTATACCCACCTAGACCATCATACACTGATCCCCATCCCCACCTATACCATCATCTACCCACCTCCAACCTCACCTAGACCATCATACACCCATCTCCAATTTAAAACTCAAAAGGACTGTGAACATATAACTTCACTTGGAATTCTTATTTCTAACTATTTTATAATCTAAGTATGCAAAATTCCCAGTCTATAAAGTCTCTACATAAACATATGAACTATGGGCAGTTATCAAAGAATCTGAAGTCACTCACATAATTAATATAGAGGCAAAGAATTAAATGCTATTTATTTCAGTAGGTCTTCAAAGCCTTAAAATTATTCCAAGATATTTTCAGTACTTAAAACAAATAGAAACCTGAAGGGAAGCTTTGTGTACATGTTTCTCAATACATGTAGTCACACACAGAGAGATGTTATGCATAGTGCTATGATGAAAGCCTACACTCTTAGGAAATCAATGGTGAATTTATCATGATGAAACGAAGTCATAATGTTTCTGTATGCCATTGGAATAACTGCCAGGATTAGTCGTGCCTATTTAGTTTGATAAGAAATTGTTTAACCACACATGTGCATGCAATTTAAAGTCATTTCCAATGAACATTATTTTGTGGCAGTGTACTTTCTTTATATGTACCAAAGAAAGAAAGAAAGGAAAGAAGGAAGGAAGAAAGGAAGGAAAAAAGAAAAGCATGATCCAGCTAGCCTTCATTGACCAGGAAGGATTTCTTCTTTGATTCTTCAAATTCCAATGGAATTGAACATTCTACTACATACATGTGATTTATATAAACAAACCTGAATAAGTAAATGCACCCAAATAAAATTAGATATAGGGAACACACACATCCTAATCACAAAGCTTTCATTTCCAACTAAATTAATATTTTTGCTGATTTGTTTTATTTGGGAATTTATTTAAATTTTTAAAGCTAATTTAATTTATGAATTGTTAAATGATATAGCTATAAGGACTATGAGTGTGTGTATTCAGCTATGTAAGTTTACATTTTAAAATCTTAAAGAAATGACCTTTTCTCCCCTTACATTGTGACCTTTCTAGCCTGTCATTGAGTTCCTTTCCAAGAATATGAATTGGAAAGAGAATATGAATTAGAAAGAGAATATGAATTGGAAAGAATCACTTTGGAAGTGAATTATAATTGGCAAAACTGATTGTCTCCTCTGAATGAGATTGCTTGAGATAGAAACAGACAGACTGTGTCTATCACAGCGCAAATGGGCTTGGATACATTAGGAGACGATCACAATTAAATGTTTTTTCTGTGTGTGGTGCTGAGGATAAAATTAAATTCTATGTTTTGTCTTTTTCCTCCCTCTCTGTTCTACGGCATGTGGTACCTGGAAGAAATGGCCAAAGTCCATATTCCCTTATCATCGTAATGGGTTTTCTGTTTACCTGTCATAGTTCAGAGGGAAGCAGTAAGCACTTCCCATAATTAATTCTGCTGCCCCAGAAATATGATCAACGCTTTCTTCTTAATGGCAAATGACTAAACCTCATAACTACAAATATTAGTGCTACCAGGAACTGTTAGATTTAATTACCCAGTGTTAAATATAAAGACTTTCTTGTGTTTGACTAAGCAGGTAAACAGCATTGCCTGGTCTGGAGCACCTTTCAGTGTGCAGCTTCCTGACGCTGAAATCATCAGATCTTTACCTGGTAACTGTCCACCCCGAGTCTGAGGCTGCAGAGAAATGGGATCCCACCCCTTCATTTGTCACACAGGGAACAAGTGCCTGACAATGGACAGTGTCAGCATAAGAACGTCATCTGAGCCCGTGTGTGCTCTGAGTCACTGGTCCTCACCCCTCACAGTTTTATTACCAATGCTTATATTTTCTTTAGAATTTTTGTTAAAAACTTACCTCCTGTATTTAATCCAACCACATTTTAGATCTAGAAAAGAGGCAGAACCAGTCAGCTAGCATCCAAAAATAAAAACATTTCTTAAAGGATTTTTTAATAATTTGTTCGTAATTATCAAATTATCAGTGAGGCATATACCACTCCTATTCTAATGTCCTAGTAGTATTTTGATTAGGGATTGACTGTGAAGGGTGTGTGAGCAGTCTTTTTTTTGAGACAGGGTTTCTCTGTGTAGCCTTGGCTATCCTGGAACTCACTCTGTAGACCAGGGCTGGCCTTGAACTCACAGAGATCCACCTGCCTCTGCTTCCCAAATGCTGGGACTAAAGGCATTTGCCACCACTGCTCAGCCTTGAGAAGTGCGGTATGGGATGTTTGTGTGAAGAGGGAGATAAGAAAAGTGGAGGGTGATGGGTGCGAGGGTGTGTGTGTGTGTGTGAGGGTGTATGTGTGTGTGTGTGAGTGAAGTGGTAGAGGGGTGG